CAACGTCGGTCTCGGAGAGTAGTTGGATGGGTGACCACGTTCTGCAGCTTGACTCCTGAGAGTTTCTAGGGCTTCGGACCTGCCCCACACTGAAGCACATGTACCACATGTGGTGTCTCCTTGCAAGTGACTTTGTTCAAAATGTGCCTCTGTTAACCCAGCAGTGAGTGGGTACCCGGTAGGATGAGATGGTAATGTGGCCGTTAACCTTCTAGCGCCTTTAACATATGGAGTTAACATAGCCACTCGCCAAGAGTCGCAATACTTTACAACAGCAATGTATTTACGTACGCTTCATTCAGTCATGATGATCATGATGATGTCTGTTATGCAAATATTTAGATTTAAACGAAGAACTGATAAAGAAGACATATTTTTTGTATTTTATCTTCGGAGAAATTTTTATTATTGAAAAAAGCCGTTAATGTCGTTTTCACAAACATTGATGAAAGTGTCGAGTTTATATGAGAGGCACTCTCCTATGCTGGTGAAGAGGGGAGGTGAAATGGGGTTTTACGTCGCGTCCAAGATTATTGCACTTATATAGCGCCGTGCATGCTCAAGTGTTTGTGTGTGTGGCTGCTTGTCCTAGTCCGGACCTATGCCGATTTATAGTTCTAGCCGTAGGTTAACATGAATACCCCACTCAGACACAGTATACTGACTCCGAGCCGACCAGTCCTTGAGCTCCAAACAGGGTAATGACAAGTACATACATACATGGATAGTCTATACTCGGATAGTGGTAGTTTGACAGGGATAGTCTATGTTTGGGTTGTGGTGGTGTGACAGGGGCAGTTTATACTGGGGTTGTGGTGGTGTGACAGGGATAGTTTATACTGGGGTTGTGGTGGTGTGACAGGGATAGTTTATACTGGGGTAGTGGTGGTGTGACAGGGGTAGTCTATGCTGGGGTAGTGGTGGTGTGACAGGGATAGTCTATGCTGGGGTAGTGGTGGTGTGACAGGGGCAGTTTATACTGGGGTTGTGGTGGTGTGACAGGGATAGTCTATGCTGGGATAGTGGTGGTGTGACAGAGATAGTCTATGCTGGGGTAGTGGTGGTGAGACAAGGGTAGTCTATGCTGGGGTAGTGGTGGTGAGACAAGGGTAGTCTATCCTGGGGTAGTGGTGATGTGACATGGATAGTTTATACTTGGTTAGTGGTGGTGTGACAGGGGTAGTCTATGCTGGGGTAGTGGTGGTGAGACAAGGGTAGTCTATCCTGGGGTAGTGGTGATGTGACATGGATAGTTTATACTTGGTTAGTGGTGGTGTGACAGGGGTAGTCTATGCTGGGGTAGTGGTGGTGTGACAGGGGTAGTCTATGCTGGGATAGTGGTGATGTGACATGGATAGTCTATGCTGGGGTAGTGGTGGTGTGACAGGGGTAGTCTATGCTGGGGTAGTGGTGGTGTGACAGGGGTAGTCTATGCTGGGATAGTGGTGATGTGACAGGGGTAGTCTATGCTGGGATAGTGGTGGTGTGACAGGGGTAGTCTATGCTGGGATAGTGGTGATGTGACAGGGATAGTCTATGCTGGGGTAGTGGTGGTGTGACAGGGGCAGTCTATGCTGGGGTAGTGGTGGTGTGACATGGATAGTCTATGCTGGGGTAGTGGTGGTGTGACATGGGTAGTCTATGCTCGGGTAGTGGTGGTGTGACAGGGGCAGTTTATACTGGGGTTGTGGTGGTGTGACAGGGATAGTCTATGCTGGGGTAGTGGTGGTGTGACAGGGGTAGTCTATGCTGGGGTAGTGGTGGTGTGACAGGGGTAGTCTATGCTGGGATAGTGGTGATGTGACATGGATAGTCTATGCTGGGGTAGTGGTGGTGTGACATGGATAGTCTATGCTGGGGTAGTGGTGGTGTGACAGGGGTAGTCTATGCTGGGGTAGTGGTGGTGTGACAGGGGTAGTCTATGCTGGGGTAGTGGTGGTGTGACAGGGATAGTCTATGCTGGGGTAGTGGTGGTACGACACTGGTAATCTATGCTGGGGTAGTGGTGATGTGACAGGGATAGTTTATACTGGGTTAGTGGTGGTGTGACAGGGATAGTTTATACTGGGGTTGTGGTGGTGTGACAGGGATAGTTTATACTGGGGTTGTGGTGGTGTGACAGGGGTAGTCTATGCTGGGGTAGTGGTGGTGTGACAGGGTAGTCTATCCTGGGGTAGTGGTGGTGTGACAGAGATAGTCTATGCTGGGGTAGTGGTGGTGAGACAAGGGTAGTCTATCCTGAGGTAGTGGTGATGTGACATGGATAGTTTATACTGGGTTAGTGGTGGTGTGACAGGGGTAATCTATGCTGGGGTAGTGGTGGTGTGACACTGGTAATCTATGCTGGGGTAGTGGTGGTGTGACACTGGTTATCTATGCTGGGGTAGTGGTGGTGTGACACTGGTAATCTATGCTGGGGTAGTGGTGGTGTGACAGGGGTAATCTATGCTGGGATTGTGGTGATGTGACACTGGTAATCTATGCTGGGGTAGTGGTGGTGTGACACTGGTTATCTATGCTGGGGTAGTGGTGGTGTGACACTGGTAATCTATGCTGGGGTAGTGGTGGTGTGACACTGGTAATCTATGCTGGGGTAGTGGTGGTGTGACAGTGGTTATCTATGCTGGGGTAGTGGTGGTGTGACACTGGTAATCTATGCTGGGGTAGTCGTGGTGTGACACTGGTTATCTATGCTGGGGTAGTGGTGGTGTGACACTGGTAATATATGCTGGGGTAGTGGTGGTGTGACACTGGTAATCTATGCTGGGGTAGTGGTGGTGTGACACTGGTTATCTATGCTGGGGTAGTGGTGGTGTGACACTGGTAATCTATGCTGGGGTAGTGGTGGTGTGACACTGGTAATCTATGCTGGGGTAGTGGTGGTGTGACACTGGTAATCTATGCTGGGGTAGTGGTGGTGTGACACTGGTAATCTATGCTGGGGTAGTGGTGGTGTGACACTGGTAATCAATGCTGGGGTAGTGGTCGTGTGAGAGGGGTAGTTTATACTGGGATAGTGGTGGTGTGACAGGGTAGTCTATGCCAGGGTAGTGGTGGTGTGACAGGAGTTGTCTATACTGGGGTAGTAGTGGTGTGACATGGGTAGTCCATGGGGGGTAGCTAATTCCATAGGAAACAACGTTTGATATGGCTTTTTGAACACTGAATTCTGATACCTTTGTTTTGTTTGTTGTTTAACGCCGCACGCCGCCATGTTCCAGCTGAATATATCGAGTGTGGGACAATGATTGACATTATGAGCATCGATCTATTGAGATACGATGACATGCATTAAACCAAGTCAGCAAGTCTGACCACCCGATCCCTTTAGTCGCTTCCAACTACAAATCATAGTTGCTAGCATGGTTTCTGAGGATCAAGTCTAACCCGGATCTTCACGGATCTCCTGCCGTCTACTTATGAGTCGGTTGTCAGAATAATTAGCCGTGTTGATCAGGTTAACTCAAAATCCTTCCACTGCACCTCAAAGTATGCTGTGTGCATAGAAGCGGTTAATAAGCCAATTAGCGCTAATTCAAATTAAGCTACATACTATAATCCCCATCCCAAATCCCATGATTTTCAGTTTTGAGCTGACCATGGACCCGCGAAGATTCCGGGGTAGAGTAGGTCTTCAACAACCCATGCTTGTCGTAAAAGGTGACTAACGGGATCGGGTGGTCAGACTTGCTGACTTGCTGATTTTGTCAAAATTGTGCATTTGGGGTTAAATGCACCAAGCTTGGCACTCTTATACATTAAACCATTTCGAACATTTCAGAATATGTTAAAATCTCTTAGATATCAATTTATATTCAATACATCATATTAATTTTGTCAATTTTAGTAATGTATGCAAAATTATTTGCAACAACGTTGCATATAATTCAAATCTAATATGCAGCGCCCACTGGTGGCGAGGAAAATCCAAGATGGCCGCCAAATAAATTCGTGTCAAATGTTTATGACATCATCGATCTCTGCAATTGGGATACGATGACATCATCTACGCAACTGTATCAAATGAAGCCTTGTGACCCTTGATTGTCGGTAGTGCATGCATTGATTTGACGTTATTGCAATTTGTGTTACAAATAAAAACGTAAAAAAACTATTTCTGAATGTTCTTAATCGTCTATGGTTATGATGAATACGCAACGGTTCACATCACACGCCACAAATTTAAACTCTCATCAAACTAAACCAGTTACACAATTTCTAGATTATATCACAGTGTAGAGTTGCGTCCCTTGGGCACACCAGAAACCTTTGATTGTGGGTTCGAATCCCGGTTCGCCCCGATTATGTTTCTAGGTATCAGCGTCATACCCGTGCTCGTGGGTTTCACCAAAGTGGTAAACGTCTGAGACCTGCATCACTTCGGGATTTGCTCCCACATTAAGCTGACACGCTGTGATATAACTGGAATACACTTCACAGTGTCGTTAAACACAAATCACTCACTAGATCAAAGTCAAGGTTGGAAGCGCATGTAACAGAAAAATATGACATCAATACAACTGCCATTGAACACTGCAAAGTCACACAACAGTAACGTTCGGCTTTATATGTGTCTATGTTACCCTGGGCCTTGTTCATCAAATCGATCTTAGCGCTACGATCTTACCGCTACGTAAGCCTATGTAAAAGTATTGGACTTACGATCACCTAAGCGCTAAGTGAGTGAGTGAGTGAGTATGGTTTTACGCCAATTTTACCAATATTCCAGCAATATCACGACGGGCGACACCAGAAATGGGCTTGACACATTGTACCCATGTAGGGAATCGAACCCAGGTTTTCGGAGTGACGAGTAAACGCTTTAACCACTGGGCCACCCGCCCGCCTCCTAAGCGCTAAGATTTGGTTGGTTGGTTTGTTGTTTTACGCCGCACTCAGCAATATTCCAGCTTTATGACGGTGGTCTGTAAATAATCGCGTCTGGACCAGACAATCCAGTGATTGACATCATGAGCATTGATCCACGCCATTGGGATTGATGACATGCATCAACCAAGTCAGCGAGCCTGACCACCCGATCCCGTTAGTGGCCTTTTACGACAAGAATAGTAAGATTTTACAGCAAGCATGACCTATTCTACCCAGGATCTTCACGGGTCCCCAAGCGCTAAGATAACTTTAAGGAATAGGGCCCTGGCTGTCTAGTACTGGGCGCCGATAACGGACAACGACAGGATGGAGAGGATGCCAATGGCCACCAAAAACACCCAGAAGCAGAAAGAGTCAATCATCAGGGACACGTCTTTCCAGGTAATGACCAGGTCCTCGGGGTCATCTGTGGAGATGGAGAAGGGTGTGTCCCATCCCTTGGGTATCTTGGATTCGCTCAAGCGGGTGGTGTCTGGGGCCTGGGACACCAAGACGTTATTGTTGCATGGCTTCGTGCGAGGCTTGAATTTGTGTGCCTCCCAGAACAGTACGCGTGCCATGCACTTGGAGAAGCAAACTACCCATGGCGGAATAGGGCAGGAGGATTCGCGGAAGTAGATGACCTGTGAGAACACGCTGATCACAGTGCCAAGTGTGCTCAGAATCAGGACCGCTGACACATACACCTCTGGAAAAGACAAGACGTGCGAGTATAATCTGAAGGGCATTAAAAACTTGGGAGAGTTTAGTCTAAAACGTTTAAGCTTACTAACGTTACTCGGCTATATCTGTCACATCTTAATCCAAATCTAAGCTCTGATGGACACATGATATCTGAAGCAGCTTCCAGAGTAACACTGGCATCGTCTGTTTCAGGAACCGCAGCCACAGAACAATTTTGGGACTATTGTGTTTCCTATCATTAGTATATACTTGGTGGTAGACCAGGATGTTTAGACTGACGTGGAGACATAGGACACTCACCTAGTACAGATGTATAAACCGAAGTAGAGGGCACAGCATCTGCCAAGATTGTGAGTATAACAGTGTATGCCAGGAGAACCGTCAGACTGAAGCCCATCTTCTCTCCAGACTTGGGGGACAGTTTGAAAACGAAGGCTACAAGGATGCTGTTGATGAGCACGGGTAGAATCAGATTGAGCCCGTGGTAACTGGGAAGACGCCTCATGGTCACTTGAAGCTGAATGCGTGCATAGCCGTCCCCGTCATGGATGAACACTGAGCGGGACGAGGCATGATCCAACATCTCCCACAAGCCATCTTTCTGGTAGAAGTCCGTCACCATCCCAGCACCCCTCACTGTCAAGTTGACCTCCCCCAGGGTGTAGCCGAAGCTGGTGATTTCAATGGAGCACGTGTGTCTGTCGAAGGGGAAGAAGGTGGGGTCCATGTCACATGCAGTAGTGATGATCCTCGGAGGAGTCCAGCGGACCAGACCATGTTCTGTCACCCGCATGGGAATAGACTTGTCCTCGATTGGAGACAGGTCGTCCACACTGAGCAGCACAGCAACAGAACACAGCAAAAAAGACATCAACGAACACCAACCTTAGCCAAATGATAACATGTTTAGTCGATGGTTCTGTGCAAATACCAGCAGGAGGATAGTGGTGTTATTATGGTCACACAAGAATATATTTATTGAAAATTCGTGTTTAAAAAGGCTTCTTTAACATGTGTTATGTTTCTGGTTTGTCAGCATCATAACAGTGCGCGAGAGTACCACCTTAATGGTAAATGTCAGAGATCTGCATCGTTTCGGGCTTTCGTCACACATTTAGATGGAGAATCGATGGATGGATATTCCGGGGAGCAAAAGGGAGATTTTGTGTCATCTAGCTTTGTGTCTGATAGATATCCTGGGGAGCCAAAGGGAGTCTTAGTGTCATCTAGTTTTGTTTCTGATAGATATCCTGGGGAGCAATAGGGAGACTTAGTGTCATCTACTTTTGTATCTGATGAATATCCTGGGGAGGAAAAGGGAGTCTTAGTGTCATCTAGTTTTGTGTCTGATGGATGTCCTGGGGAGGAAAAGGGAGTCTTAGTGTCATCTAGTTTTGTGTCTGATGGATATTCCGGGTAGCAAAAGGGACATTTTGTGTCATCTAGCTTTGTGTCTGATGTAAATCCCTGGGAGCGAAAGGGAGTCTTAGTGTCATCTAGTTTTGTGTCTGATAGATATCCTGGGGAGCAATAGCGAGACTTAGTGTCATCTAGTTTTGTGTCTGATGGATAACCTGGGGAGCAAAAGGGAGACTTAGTGTCATCTAGTTTTGTGTCTGATGGATAAACTGGGGAGCAAAAGGGAGACTTAGTGTCATCTAGTTTTATGTCTGACGGAAATTCTGGGGAGCGAAAGGGAGACTTAGTGTCATCTAGTTTTGTGTCTGATGGATAACCTGGGGAGCAAAAGGGACACTTAGTGTCATCTAGTTTTGTGTCTGATGGATATCCCGGGAAGCGTAAGGGAGACTTAGTGTCATCTAGTTTTGTGTCTGATGGATAACCTGGGGAGCAATAGGGAGACTTAGTGCCATCTAGTTTTGTGTCTGATGGATAACCTGGGGAGCAAAAGGGAGACTCAGTGTCATCTAGTTTTGTGTCTGATGGATAACCTGGGGAGTAAAAGAGAGACTTAGTGTCATCTAGTTTTGTGTCTGATGGATAACCTGGGGAGCAAAAGGGAGACTTAGTGTCATCTAGTTTTGTGTCTGATGGATGTCCTGGGAAGCAAAAAGGAGACTTAGTGTCATCTAGTTTTGTGTCTGATGGATGTCCTGGGAAGCAATAGGGAGACTTAGTGTCATCTAGTTTTGTGTCTCATGGATGTCCTGGGAAGCAATAGGGAGACTTAGTGTCATCTAGTTTTGTGTCTGATGGATGTCCTGGGGAGCGAAAGGGAGACTCAGTGTCATCTAGTTTTGTGTCTGATGGATAACCTGGGGAGCAAAAGGGAGACTTAGTGTCATCTAGTTTTGTGTCTGATGGATAACCTGGGGAGCAAAAGGGAGACTCAGTGTCATCTAGTTTTGTGTCTGATGGATAACCTGGGGAGCAAAAGGGAGACTTAGTGTCATCTAGTTTTGTGTCTGATGGATATCCCGGGAAGCGTAAGGGAGACTCAGTGTCATCTAGTTTTGTGTCTGATGGATAACCTGGGGAGCAATAGGGAGACTTAGTGTCATCTAGTTTTGTGTCTGATGGATAACCTGGGGAGCAAAAGGGAGACTTGGTGTCATCTAGTTTTGTGTCTGATGGATAACCTGGGGAGTAAAAGGGAGACTTAGTGTCATCTAGTTTTGTGTCTGATGGATAACCTGGGGAGCAAAAGGGAGACTTAGTGTCATCTAGTTTTGTGTCTGATGGATGTCCTGGGAAGCAAAAGGGAGACTTAGTGTCATCTAGTTTTGTGTCTGATGGATGTCCTGGGAACCAATAGGGAGACTTAGTGTCATCTAGTTTTGTGTCTGATGGATGTCCTGGGAAGCAATAGGGAGACTTAGTGTCATCTAGTTTTGTGTCTGATGGATGTCCTGGGGAGCGAAAGGGAGTCTTAGTGTCATCTAGTTTTGTGTCTGATAGATATCCTGGGGAGCAATAGGGAGACTTAGTGTCATGTAGTTTTGTGTCTGATGGATGTCCTGGGAAGCAATAGGGAGACTTAGTGTCATCTAGTTTTGTGTCTGATAGATATCCTGGGGAGCAAAAGGGAGTCTTAGTGTCATCTAGTTTTGTGTCTGATGTATATTCCGGGGAGCGAAAGGGAGTCTCAGTGTCATCTAGTTTTGTGTCTGATGGATATTCCGGGGAGCGAAAGGGACTCTTAGTGTCATCTAGTTTTGTGTCTGATGGATATCCTGGGGAGCAATAGGGAGACTTAGTGTCATCTAGTTTTGTGTCTGATGGATATCCTGGGGAGCAATAGGGAGTCTTAGTGTCATCTAGTTTTGTGTCTGATAGATATCCTGGGGAGCAAAAGGGAGTCTTAGTGTCATCTAGTTTTGTATCTGAAGGATATCGTGGGGAGCAATAGGGAGACATAGTGTCATCTTGTTTTGTGTCTGATGGATATCCTGGGGAGCAATAGGGAGACTTAGTGTCATGTAGTTTTGTGTCTGATGGATATCCTGGGGAGCGAAAGGGAGTCTTAGTGTCATCTAGTTTTGTGTCTGATGGATATCCTGGGGAGCAATAGGGAGTCTTTGTGTCATCTAGTTTTGTGTCTGATGGATATCCTGGGGAGCAAAAGGGAGACTTAGTGTCATCTAGTTTTGTGTCTGATAGATATCCTGGGGAGCAAAAGGGAGTCTTAGTGTCATCTAGTTTTGTGTCTGATGGATATTCCGGGGAGCGAAAGGGAGTCTTAGTGTCATCTAGTTTTGTGTCTGATGGATATTCCGGGGAGCGAAAGGGAGTCTTAGTGTCATCTAGTTTTGTGTCTGATAGATATCCTGGGGAGCAAAAGGGAGTCTTAGTGTCATCTAGTTTTGTGTCTGATAGATATCCTGGGGAGCAAAAGGGAGTCTTAGTGTCATCTAGTTTTGTGTCTGATGGATATTCCGGGGAGCAAAAGGGAGTCTTAGTGTCATCTAGTTTTGTGTCTGATGGATATTCCGGGGAGCGAAAGGGAGTCTTAGTGTCATCTAGTTTTGTGTCTGATAGATATCCTGGGGAGCAAAAGGGAATCTTAGTGTCATCTAGTTTTGTGTCTGATGGATATTCCGGAGAGCAAAAGGGAGTCTTAGTGTCATCTAGTTTTGTGTCTGATGGATATTCCGGAGAGCAAAAGGGAGTCTTAGTGTCATCTAGCTTTGTGTCTGATAGATATCCTGGGGAGCAAAAGGGAGTCTTAGTGTCATCTAGTTTGGTGTCTGATGGATATTCCGGAGAGCAAAAGGGAGTCTTAGTGTCATCTAGCTTTGTGTCTGATAGTTATCCTGGGGAGCAAAAGGGAGACTTAGTGTCATCTAGTTTTGTGTCAGATGGATATTCCGGAGAGCAAAAGGGAGTCTTAGTGTCATCTAGTTTTGTGTCTGATGGATATCCTGGGGAGCGAAAGGGAGTCTTAGTGTCATCTAGTTTTGTGTCAGATGGATATTCCAGAGAGCAAAAGGGAGTCTTAGTGTCATCTAGTTTTGTGTCTGATGGATATCCTGGGGAGCAATGGGGAGTCTTAGTGTCATCTAGTTTTGTGTCTGATAGATATTCCGGGGAGCAAAAGGGAGACTTGGTATCATCTAGTTTTGTGTCTGATGGATATTCCGGGGAGCGAAAGGTAGTCATAGTGTCATCTAGTTTTTGTGTCTGATTGATATCCTAGGGAGCAATAGGGAGACTTATTGTCATCAAGTTTTGTGTCTGATGTAAATCCCTGGCAGAGAAAGGGAGTCTTAGTGTCATCTAGTTTGGTGTCTGATGGATATTCCGGGGAGCGAAAGGGAGTCTTAGTGTCATCTAGCTTTGTGTCTGATAGATATCCTGGGGAGCAAAAGGGAGTCTTAGTGTCATCTAGTTTTGTGTCAGATGGATATTCCGGAGAGCAAAAGGGAGTCTTAGTGTCATCTAGTTTTGTGTCTGATGGATATCCTGGGGAGCAAAAGGGAGTCTTAGTGTCATCTAGTTTTGTGTCAGATGGATATTCCGGAGAGCAAAAGGGAGTCTTAGTGTCATCTAGTTTTGTGTCTGATGGATATCCTGGGGAGCAATGGGGAGTCTTAGTGTCATCTAGTTTTGTGTCTGATAGATATTCCGGGGAGCGAAAGGGAGACTTGGTGTCATCTAGTTTTGTGTCTGATGGATATTCCGGGGAGCGAAAGGGAGTCATAGTGTCATCTAGTTTTTGTGTCTGATTGATATCCTAGGGAGCAATAGGGAGACTTATTGTCATCAAGTTTTGTGTCTGATGTAAATCCCTGGCAGAGAAAGGGAGTCTTAGTGTCATCTAGTTTGGTGTCTGATGGATATTCCGGGGAGCGAAAGGGAGTCTTTGTGTCATCTAGTTTTGTGTCTGATGGATATCCTGGGGAGCGAAAGGGAGACTTAGTGTCATCTAGTTTTGTGTCTGATAGATATCCTGGGGAGCAATAGGGAGTCTTTTTGTCATCTAGTTTTGTGTCTGATGGATATCCTGGGGAGCAAAAGGGAGACTTAGTGTCATCTAGTTTTGTGTCTGATAGATATCCTAGGGAGCAAAAGGGAGTCGTAGTGTCATCTAGTTTTGTGTCTGATGGATATTCCGGGGAGCGAAAGGGAGTCTCAGTGTCATCTAGTTTTGTGTCTGATGGATATTCCGGGGAGCGAAAGGGAGTCTTAGTGTCATCTAGTTTTGTGTCTGATAGATATCCTAGGGAGCAAAAGGGAGTCTTAGTGTCATCTAGTTTTGTGTCTGATAGATATCCTGGGGAGCAAAAGGGAGTCTTAGTGTCATCTAGTTTTGTGTCTGATGGATATTCTGGGGAGCAAAAGGGAGTCTCAGTGTCATCTAGTTTTGTGTCTG